TATATATATATATATAATTTTCCCTTTCTTCTTTTCTTCTTTCTCCATACTAGTTGAACTTTTCTTTTTAAAAATTTTTTGTGGTACCAGTGATTGAACTTGGAACATTGTACTGTCAGGCAGTGCTTATGCCACTGAGCTGTATTCCCAGCCCTAATCTTTCCTTTTGAGTGGTTTCTTTTGCTTGTACAATATCTATGGACTATCTGGACCTTATTTTCTCCTTTTTTTTTTACATGAGAAAGTCAAGATGAGGCTTATACATTCATGTTTGGCTTATGTCACTTTTGAGTGTGGTCTCTACTCACATCCACTGACCTATAAAAGTTTTGTGTTTACCTTTCTTTATAGCTGAGTGGCACTCCACTGTATAAATACCTCACTTGATGGATATTTGGGTCCTTTCCAAGATTTATCTGTGAAAAATTACACCATTATAAACATGGGTGCACATATATTACCTTGGTATGATATTTTCAATTATTTTGGAAAAATATTGAAGGGAAATAGCTGGCTTGTATGAAACCTCAAATCCTAGTTTACTGAGGAAGCTCCAGGCTCATTCCCACCAATAGCAGAGAAGGGCCCCTTTCCTCTTCGTCTCACCAGCGTTTGTTACTGATTGATTTCTTGATGATAGCCATTCTTTCTGGGGTGAGGTAGAATCGCAGTATTATTTTACTTTGCATTTCACTAATGACCAATGATGTTGAACATCTTTTAATATATTTGCTATTTCTACTTGTTCATCTGAGAAATGCCGATTCATCTCAGATGCCTAGTTTTGAATTGGGTCTTTAAATTTTTGGACCCTTATCTATATTTAATATTCTTTGTCTGTTCTAGGTGGTTGGCTGAAAGTTTTTCCCCTACTGGTGAGTTTTCTTTTCAGTCTGGTGTTGATTTCATTTGATGCTCAAAATTTTTTTAATAGGATAAGATTCCAGTTTTGATATTTTGAAGAATTTCTTATGCAGTTTGGTTTTTGTGCATGAACTCTCTGCCTACCCCTATGTCTTGATGATTTAGTTCTATTTTCTCTTGCAGTAGAAAGTGTTTGTGTTTTAATATTTAGGTCTTTGATCCATGCAGAAAGCCAGTTTTTCCAGCACCATTCACTAAGTGGGCCGTCTTTCTTCCTGCAAACTTCTTTGGCCCCTTTGCAAAGTTAAGGTGGCAGACTGTTTTTTGGATTACATCTGTATTTTCAATTCTGCTTCACTGTTTTTCAGATCCGCTTCTTTTGGTCAGCACCATGCTAATTTGATCACCGTAACTTTGTAGCATAATTTCATGTCAGGGATTGTGATACCTTTTGCCTTGCCTTTGTTCCCTAGAATTTTCTTTGCTATCTTAGGTCTCCTCTGGTTCCAGATGAATCTTAGGAAAGTTTTGTGCAGCTCTATGAGCTGGGCTAATGTTATTCTGATCTGAATCAAATTAAATCTGTGTATCAGTTTTGGTAGTGGGGCCATTTTCACAATGTTGGCTCTTATTCATGAGCAAGGAATATATTTGTATTTTCTCAAATCCTCTCAGATCTTTTATCTGAGTACTGTAATTTTCAGTGTATCGATCTTTTTTTGTACTCTGGTAGATTGAATCCTAAGCATTTCATTTTTTGACTGGTATTGTGAGAGGTGTGGTTTTCATAATTTCTCTCTCGGTGAGTTTGTTGTTTGTGTTGCAATAGACATTCTATTGATCTTTGGGTTGACTTTGTATCTGGCTATGCTGCTGAATTTTTTAATTAAATCTAAAAGTCTTTTGGTAGAGTTTTTAGTGTCATCTATGTAGAATATAATGTCACCTGGGAATAATGATAATTTCACTTCTTCCTTCCCTAGCCTTATTGTTTTTATTTCTGTCTCTTCTAATTACTTTGGCTACTATAGCCAGAATTATGTTGAAAATGAGAGTTAAACATGAACATCCTTGTATTTTTCCCTCAATTGAAATAAAAAGCTTTCAGTTTTTGTCCCTTTACTGACATTGACTGATGCATTTACGTAGATGGTTTTTAGTAAGTTGAAGGAAAGATGTACTCTGATTTTTGTAGCTTTTTTATACTTAATGAGTGTCTGACTAGCAAAAACTTTTCTGAATCTATTGATGATCATGTGATTTTTGTCTTTGGCTCTGGTAATGTGGTCTATTTCATATACTGATTTGCTTATGTTGAACTATCCCTGCATTGCTGGGATCAATCCCATTTGGTCATGATGTATATAATCTTCTTGATGATTTGGTACATTCTGTTTACTAGTATTTTATTGTGGATTTTATTTTTTTATGTATTTAGTACAGGGTCTATTAGGTCTTACTCTCTAGACCAGACTTGTAGTGATACTCCTGAGTTCAGTCTTCCAAGCGCTGGGATTACAGGTGTGCGTCACCACGCCCAGTCTCCATCGCCATCTCAGTGCGCCCCGGGAGCGGGGCCGGTATGGCTCGCCAGGGGCTGAACCCTGGCTGCTGTGCTTTGCCTAAGCTGGCGCTTTAGTCTGCTGAGCTATCTGGGTGGCCTTATTGTGGATTTTTATATCTGTGTTCAGTAAGGAGATTGGCTTTAGATGTCTTTTTCAGTTGTGTCTTTCTGTTTTTAATTTTTATTGGGGTAATTCTTGCCTTCAGGTATGAGTTAGAGAGAATTGATTGCTTTTCAATTTCATTAAAGAGTTTGAGGAGTATTCACAAACTTAGTCTTCTCCAAATTTCTTCTAGAATTCATTTGTGAATTTATCAGGACCTGGTCATTTTGTTGGCAAGATGTTAATTACGGTTTTAATTTTATTTTTTTCTCTTGTCTAATGGTTAAGCCAATGATCCTGAGAATCTTCAGCAAGTTTTTAAAA